TCAGCTGCATATTCCACTTTGAGATAAATCTACCAGATATTATAGCTTGCAATAAATTTTAGAAATAGTATATTAAAAGCTCTAAACTGGCACTTTTAAAAAGCAAAACTGCAAAAAAGGTCTTACTTGAAGAAACTTCGCTATCAATTCAATTCCTTCTGTGTCTAGCCTAAAAATAAAAATACGTTAAAAATTAAAATGTTTTTTTGAAATATATTTTCCAAAGCAAAGTTGCAAAATAGCTCATTTCATTAAACAATAGCAAAATTGAAAATAAAACTTAAACAAACAAAATAATGTTTTCACTTGAACATCTTTCTCGCAAGCTAACATGTATCTGTACAAATGCCAGTGTCTCATAACCTGACTGCCAGAGGAACACTGGTCAGATGTGAATCCTGAGCTTTGGATTGTGATTTAATAGGAGGATCGGGTCATTTATTTTAGAAGTTTTTTTTTTCTTTTAATAAAGCCTAACACTCCTCCTTTGTTGGAGGACAAAATATCAAATCATTTTCTGTAGAGTCAAATCATTAGGCTTTGCTTCTGAGTTTATTTATGGTAACTGCGCTGTTAACAGTACAGTTCAGACCTTTCAAAATCTCATAATGGCTTTAGCATTATCTCAAGAAACTGCTCTAGGAAATTCTGCCATTCTAACAATGAGCCTGTTTCCTAACAGGAGAGATCTGGGCTGTTTAGGAAGTGCTATTCACACAGCACTTCCTACCACGGCGCAGGCAGCATTAATCGGAGCTGACAGTTCTGCAGGTCATTATGGAATGGCGGGGCCTTGGGTGATCTACCCGCAGCAATCCTCGAGTACCAGAATTATGCTTTGCCCACAGGTAACTGCACAGCGATGTGCAATTTTCCAATTCACTAACACACTGAACTTAGAAACATGCTCACATTTACAAACAGCCAAAGCCAGAGATGCATATTTTCTATTAACAAAACAAAGTACCTTGGTGCATGGTTGATTAGGGGCTGTGGTTTATATTTAGGAAAGTTGTAGTTTCTAAATTCATCACTGGAAGAAATGCCTGGCCATGTTTCTTGACATGGAGTTCCTACATTATAAAAGGAAGGAAAAAAGAACTTAAAAACTGTAATGAAATAAGACTTATACAAGTAAGCATTAAATTCTGTAATTTAAACAGGAAAGAAAAAAAAACAGTCGATGACTGTGCTGTACAAATGCAGCTATGTACAAAGTGATTAAGAATTCAGATACTCTCATTCACCTGGAATAGAATGGAACACAAAATGTCACTGTTTATGGATAAAGACCTACAGCTCTCAGGGAAAAGGTATTTAGAAGAATAAAGTAAATGTACAGATAGCAACATGGCTGCTAAAATCATTCACTTACCCAGAAGTCTGAAAATTAAGTGCAGTTCATCTTCAACAGTCGAACCAGGAAAAAGAGGCCTTCCTGATGCCATTTCAAAAAATATGCATCCAACACCCCTTCAAGGAGAAAACAAAGAAAAAGATAAATAAAACACAATCCATCAATTAAAATGATTAGGTCTTCAAGACTTTTGTGATTCCTCTTAAATTAAAACAATGATTAAATTAGTTGTTAACCACATGCTGTTATTAAAAATATTGTTTTGAAAGAAGATAAGCAATAGCAAAAAGTCACAAAGGACTAGACAAAACCTGTCATAGCTATATTAGTTCTTCTTTCAGAAGTTAAGTTTACCAACTGCACTCTACGAAGTACATGCACTCTAAAATACCATGTGAAATACCTGTGTAGCAGGAAGACTGTGAATTTCTTTTCTTAATGCAGTGGTCCTGATGCATGCCTACTCTAAGCAATAAAAAGATACTCTGCATTTTCAAAGAGCAGAGCAGCACCTTCCTTGTGGGCTAATCCTATCTGTAAAACCCAACCCTTCTGTATCTTTCAAAAATGCAAAGGATTAGTATTTCAATGCTGCTCTCTGATACTTTTCAATTGTTGAGAACTAAAATTAAAATTTAGCCAAACTATACAAACCACATGTCAATTTGAGTTGAATACTCTGAGGATCCCAGGAGAACATCAGGCGGTCTGTACCACAACGTGACAACTTCATTGGAATAGGTCTTTGTAGGAACAGACTTTGCCCTCGCCAGCCCTTGGAAGAAAGGAAATAAAAGGTAATGTGCTGTTTCTTGGCATAATTACTCCAAATCTAGTACATCTCTGTGATTTCATTTTGTTTAAATGAGGAAAAAGTATCCAAAACTCTGCATTACTCGCATCTTTTTTTTTTTTGGGGGGGGGGGGGGCATGGAATTAACAAAACATAACTTTTAAAAGACAAATCAACCTTAATATTCTTGCTAAATACCTTTAGGATTATAACAGAACAATAAAGCATCGGATTAACAGGATATCTTCCCTCACAGACTCTGACACCCCCCTTACACACTATTTCCATTTGAGAAGTGTGTTGCAAGAGCCAGAATGCAATAGATGAATAACAGATGAATAACGAAATGGTGGAAACGGGCCAAAGCAGTGTTGGACTGACAAGGGTCTTCCAGCAACACTGTCATTTTATCAGCCATAACTTCAATAAAAAATAGTTCCATTTTGTTACATGCAATCTTTGGAGCAATCCCTGTACAAGCACAACTCTTCCCTGGAATACAGTACAGAGTAGAGCACTAAACTCATCCACACGAGTGTCCCACCCCATGCGAAGGGCTTGCTAGAAATCCCAGAGGAACTTGGTTTATCCGTGACAGAGGATGCAGTAACATCTGGCAGTTCGGCACGTGGACAGACCCCTTCTGTCCCCCAGGTTACCCTTCTTGGGAGTGATTTTTAGGAAAATTAAATGGGATAAGGACACAGTGCTTCCTAGACTCCTGCTTAAGGGTTTGACCAAGCGCCAATTTCAAAGGAAGCTGTAAAAATTACTTGCAAAACTCAAGCTACAGCACTGAGTGCAACAGCACTACCTATATGCATATTATTCTGATTACTAATATCCTGTAAAAGGTTGGCTTTTGCTGAAAACGCACAAGACTACAGAGATGATGTTCTCCTCTTGCCTTTCCCAGTGTAGCTGCATACAGCAGTTACAGTTCTATGCAGCGTATAGCAGTAGATTTCTCTCCTGCTTCTTCAGATGAATTCCAGAATCCATTATGGCTGTTTCCACTAATTCATACAAAAGAAACACAGGAACCAACACAATGGCTTGTGGAATATTTCCGTGTGTCCAAGACTGAAATTATAAATAGACTAAAAACACTAACTTCTACCGAAGGTTGTAAAACTTAGGGAGACTTGTGTTGAGACCACACGCAACAGATTGAAAGCTACTGAAACAGTTCAGCAGTTACTAGGAAAAAAGGCTACAGGAATCTGGTTTATAACAACATTCAGAAAGCAGGCTATGATTCACTTGCAGAAAAAAAATCCTTCAAAAGTGATAAACTATGGCAATACCTAGTGCAGGAAAGGTAATTAAAATACCGAAATAAAGAGCACAAAAATCATGTAAGAAGATTCCAGACCAGACTGAATGGCAGGACAGCTATTAACAGATGATGTATGAGACTAGAATACTTTGAAAGCACACACACACAGAACAGAGCAGTGTGTCACTAGGATGAATTAACTGAAGTCAGAGTGCTGGAGCTAACCAACATTTGGAGATTCTTCATTTTAACATGAAGCATAACTTAGGCTGAAAACTGAAATAAGCAAGTGGAAAAAAAAATCTTTACCAAATGAGATTCACGAACGAAAAGGATTTAACCAGAAGCTCTGAACCCCTTTAAAATCCCCTGTAAACCTAAAAGTCTTTTAGATTAAGGCCTATTCATTTACTACTTCCAGCACCCTAGCTAAGAAGGGGCATTCAAGATGTCCTACACACATAATTTTTTTTTCCATTCACCTCTACTCATGTCAGCTTATGCTCCAAACAACTCAAACTCTGAAAAAGATAGCAATAACTACTTCAAATTACTGACAGCAAGTTGTTACCTGGCAATGTTGCCTAAATAACATTTTACTTTTCCAGTTACTGATAAAGCAAAAAGCAGCAATAATGATGACAAGTTCTCACTATAACCAGGAAGATCCAATACAGGTTCTGCGTCCCAGCCTTTTCAATGGGTGAAAATGTAGAAAAAAAAAGATGTGCTAATATATATCTTAATGTTTTTGCTGATGCTTACAGCGGTTTGCAAATGCATATTCCCCATAGCAAAGGATTTCAAAGTTCAGTGAAACTTATTTTCAGGATTTCATTAATGCTGAATGAAGAAAATGGTTGTTACAGAAGAATTCCAATCCATACCAAAATCTGCTAGCTTCAGTTCTCCTTTTTCATTAATTAGTAGATTTTGTGGCTTCAGATCTCGATGTAACACCTTTCTCCTATGACAGTATGCCAAACCACGAAGAATCTGGTACAAAAATAGCTAGAGAGAGCAAAAGAGAACATTTATGTAAGTTAGACTGAAAATATGGATTTACAGATTACCTATCATTCTGACAGCCCATTTGGGGTGCTGGAGAGTTACATCTCTGCATTGTGAGCAAAACAAAAAATCCATCTCAAAAGGTAAGTTTTCTCCTATGAACAGATTCCGAGTATTTTCATTATTGCTTAGAAATCTAAAAGCCTTTTATGCTAATGCATTATTTTTACTCAGTACTTTAACACACTGACTTTAAGAGCAATTTGTTCTGCATAACAGAAGAGAATCAGAGCTGCTTTTTTTTTTCCCCAAGTCATCATTTACCAATGCTTCTTCCCACACTACTGTTAAGTAATGGTCTCTGTCTAGAGATTCTATTCTGCTACAGAGTCCCTTCTTAAAATGCAGCTCAGCATCCTTATCCAACTGTGCACAGCTACGTAAATAACACTTTTGCAGGCTACTAGAAGCATACACTTGGATTCCTGAGTTCACGACAGAGAGACCCGAGAAAATGAGGATTACCAAAATAGCCTGTTTCTAGCATTCATGTTCATCCCCTCACCTTGACACTTGCAGGTTTATTTTAGTCCTCTGGGACGGCAAGCCGACCAAGAACTGCAGTCATGCATATTAATGCTGCATATATACAGACACATACATAGTAAGGGCATGGAAAAACGCTTTGCCAAGGCAGCTTGCTATACCACTGCTTTAATAAACAGTACTTTGCAATTCCTGAATGCATAGAGGGCCTGCCCTTGAACTCAGGACTCTGGCATCATATACAGCACAACAGTCCAGAGCTGTCAGAGGTGAGCAAGTGGACAACGAACCACTGAACACAAAATGCAGAGCCTTAACAGTTGTAAGTCTACCAAGGTGACAAATGCACCACACAGTCGGGTTGTTGAGGAGACATGTTGCAATGCTTTTCCATCATCATTTTCTAGCAAATGAGCTTATTTTTGCACCAGATGAAACCCCCAGATTCTTTTTCCTAAACTACGCAGATACACAGCAGGTATATTTTATTTTACATCCAGCTGCTCCCAGGCTGCTTATACGGGGTTTATCTCCTCCAGGAGACCCAGACTGCAGGGGGCAATCATTCACAAGCGACCTCAGCAGCACAGCAGTGGGAATCGACGGCCACCTCTGCGCACGGCCACAGCAAGGGATGGTCAACGAGACAGAGCAGAGAAACCAGGACCTTCATCCTAGTTAGCACGGGTCGTTTTGGAAAGGCACAGGGCAATACGTGGGAGCTCACAATTCTGACTGAAACGGTAACACCTGCAGACGTCACACACACACACAGTACTGCCCACCGTCATCTTGTTAAGAACTCTAAAGCTCACAATAGCTGAGGAACATAAATGATGGGATGAATGGGAAGGTCTCTCAAATATTAATAACTAACTAATAAAAATTAATGGAAGGACAGGAAGTGGTCAAAACAATTATGCATTTTTTTAAGAAAATGTAACAAAAATGTAACTTCAAAGAGAATGAAATCAGATGAGAAGTGATATAATCTCTTTTTTTAAAATGGTTTAAACACTTAAAAGCTATGGCAACTAAACAAAATGACTCCCCCTGACATGAAAAGTAGGTGAACCAGACCCAGAGATGAAAATGTTTCTTAACTATTTTTTTAAAGTCCCTACCACTAAAAACACTCACCTTTACATTGTGCATACTCATGATGTTACCACAGTCATCCATGTACTGCTTCAGATCCTTATCCTGTGAAAACACCACCATCATTGTTCAGGGTTATTTTGGACAAGAAATTATGTGAATATGATTTCTTGTTAGAACTGGCAAGAAATCATGCATTAGAAAGCAAATTTTTTTTAATCACATTTTTGACAAGCAAAGGCACAAAAGCTGGAACATGCAGAAAACTGGCTTCACAAAGGCTAGAAATACCACCACCCATGCTTTCCAGCAAGTTGCATTATCCCAGCACACATTATTTGTTTTTCCCTTCCCTTCCACCTTCTGCATCAGCAATCTTCATGAAATGTTCCCCAATTACACTGAGCTTCATCCCTCTTAGTACACATATATTCCAGCATATTATACAAAAATAGCATTACATAATGCTTCAGAAAGCAGCTATGATGGGAGAGGCAAGCAAGCAAGGTAGGTAATCCTGGACACTTGCTTGAAAAGGATGCAGCATAAAATGGTTACCCATGAAGTATGCATTTTTACTTAAAAAAAAAAAACGTGAAAACTGTATCAGAATAGAAAAAAAAACACATTTGGATAATAGTGTAATTGTTTTTGTTCCTTACGGAATTTGGTATAAGAAGACATTTTCCTCAGAAAGAGGTAGGGTAGCTCACAGTAAATTGCTACTCATTGGAAATTATCAGAACTATATCTATGGTAAAGGTACAACTGAACTTTCTGCTAACTCTACCTATAGATGAAAAATTTTAACAATCACAACATTTTTAAAGAGATGCCACATGCATATGCCTGTATTACTTGGAAGCGATATTCTCTAAGGAGATGCATCAGTTAGAGTAAGCTCAAGAGTTGTTTCAATGCTTACCAGGTATTCAAAAACAAGAGTCAAAGACTTCTCCGTGTGAACGATATCATGTAACGTAACAATATTGGCATGTTTCAGATCTTTCAATAATGACACTGCAAAAGAGAATTTTAAGTGGAAAGTGAGTAAATGTGAGACAGATTAAAAGCAAATGCAGTACATGTAGCGCATTTGTACGTATAAGGTATTTGTTTATTTTTTTTAAGGTTAAGGAGATATACTAGAAAAGATACTATTCATATAGCAGTAAGGTAACTGATACAACAGGTATTGAACTTTAAAACATTCTGAGCAACTTGTAACCAGAGAACTGCAAACATTTTCTAAATCATACATTTCAGGCAGAAACAGCCATTTCCTAAAATGTATTCTGAATCCCTGAAAGCAGCTTACTACATGTACATAAATCAGTATAAAACCATCCACACTTTAGATACTGTGTTTGAGAACACAGCGATCACCATGAAATAAATACACTTGAAACATTAAGAACTGTCTCAATTTCAATTTTATCAGAAATTACATGAGTTTCTTGTAGTCTGTGTTTCTCTACCAATAGTACTTTGGACAAATAGAAAGCCAGAAATATCTGAAATTCTAGTACGCACAAAAAAAACATTATCACCTTCTCTTATGGCTGTGCATGGTGCTCCCTCTTCATGTTCCAGACGGATTTCTTTCAGTGCTACCAGGTTCTCTGTCAATTTACTTCTTCCCTTATAAACTGTTGCATAAGTACCCTAGGCAATGGGGGAAAAAAGGGAAAGAAACTCTTAAAACCTGTTTCTTCATTGAAAGATCAGTTAAAAAGAAAATATAAATTTGTATCTGAACACATTTTGGATATGATTAGTGTTTGTTTTCTGTTTTTCATACACGCAAAACAAATATTATCTTTTGCAAACACAGAAGGCATCTATGTATCTACTGAAGAAGTGTCTGTTAAGCTCCCCTGGTTCACCGCCCTGATAATTTACTATCTTGGAAAGCTGTATTTTGACTAAAACTGGCTTAAGTATCCTTACCTTTGTTATATATTTTCTGTAATAACTCCTTTTTTTTACCCTGGGGTGGGGGGGGAAGGGGCAGGGAGAAGAATCAAATTTTTGTTTTTGTTGACAAAAAGAACATGGAATATCATGAGGTTCATCTTTTTCAATTTGCTCTACTTAAGGAATAGAAGATTCAAAACTCTTAAGACAGTTTACAAAATAACAAGAAATAGTTACTAAACAATAAATTTGTGCAACTAACTCCAGCAATTGCAGAGAAGCAGCAATACCAAATTACAAAAACTGTCCTGCTTTAGAGTACATATCTGGTATTATTTGTTACATTTACTCAGTAATGCAAATGAGACAAAATTCATCTACAAGTAAGACTCAATTAATATTCCCCAAAGACACACAACACTACACCATGCCTACTGAGCCATCTAACAAGAAATAGAGGCAAGACTTCAAAATAATAATAATAAAAAAAGCATTTTGGAAAACAAAAACCCACAAAAAGCAAACAGAAGAGTGCAAATGGAGAAATAACTTGGAGAACTAACTGCAATATTCACAGCTCATAGGCTGATCATCCCCGCTTCCTTCTGCGGTGCCTGGTGCCTACAGTCCTGGTGCTCCTCACTCTTCTTAATCAAACTGGATAGGTGCTACACCCACACCCTTCCTACCTCTTCTTTCCAAAAATTCCACAATTTCTCTGAAAATCCATGTCTGTCTGGAAGAAAAGCCCAATTTCTGCCCTCCCAGAAGCAGCTTTCCCCAGCTCAGCAGTGTTGTGCATGCTTTCCTTCCTCGTTATGTGTGTATAGAACACGTGTGTGGCTGTGACACTGCCAAACACAGCAAATATGTTTAATCTCCTGAAAGGAAGACAAATCCAATAGGTATTTCCAAGCATGCAGATGCCTTCTGTGGACTTAAATAAATTATACACAGAACCCATCAAAGCAGTAATCGATTCAAAAGAAAGCTATACGCACCTCTCCAAGCTTTTCTAGCTTGATATAGGTCTCCATTTTTCCAAAACCAATTTCGGACTGAAATAAAAATAAACGGTAAATTACTCACTGACAGTAGTGACAATTTATCAGCAAGCTAGACTTCCTTTTCAGAAAAATACCCCACAGTACATGGTGTAGTCTCTTCATTGTTGTTGTTCACCAAGAGTAACAAAATTAAAGTCTTCTTTAGACCATAAAATCTTACAATATTTCTTACTCAGAGAGGCCAGATATTCTTTACAAGCTGCCTGTACATATGTTTTCACAGCATTGTTACATTTTAGTTGACCACCATTCAAAAGGAAAATCTTGTTTTTAGACTCCCCAAACAAGTAAGGTTTTATTTTTCTTTCAAACTAATTTCTCAACATGTTTTTTTTTTCTGCCATGCATATCTGGTCACCTCAACTTACATAGAAACATTAATACAGCTTTTCACATCTCTTATTCCTAAGGGCTGATGTGTAAGAGATGCCTACATTCTGCTGCATATGTAGTACTGTACTGGCACACACAAAATGAACAACTACTGTAAACACTATTTTTTTTGGTTATATTTCAAAGAAATACACCAGACCTGAAATATCATAGGTCCTCACTTGACACATTTTAGTGCTTTTTTGCTTTCATTTCTACTAAACCTTGGAAAAAGAGAAGCCTTTGAAGAAGAGCACAACATTCATATATCATAATTACTCGTCTGCTAGCAGCCTTTCAATCACAAGCCAACAATAATGAGTTTGTTTTTATTTTTTTAAGTTAGTTTGAAATAATAGAAGAATCCTGGAGCAAATGCCTGCCTGCCTGCCCGCCACAGCGCTGCAGATAGGTTTTATTTCAATCCCTAAGCCCTGAAAGCATTTCTGAAAGGCAAAACAAAATCTTGTGACAGGAAGTTGATTCTGTACACAGATCGCATTCATTAGAGGGCACTGTTTTTCTTTCTTTTTTCTAAAATACAAGAGAAGGGAACTTCAACTGCCGTCACTTAGGGCTCAGTGGTAAACGAGCAAGGAAGTTTAATCACATGGGAAACGCCTTCTACCCCCAAACGTTATGTTCCAGCACTGAAATGGTTGTATCGAAAAGGTTACTTCAGCACGTCGGAGCCCAAAAAGAGAAGTTCTGAAAAATACATTCTTCAATTCAGTGCTAATGCACTAACACAAATATGTGGCTAAGGATATCCAAAATTCCGAAAAAAAGAAACATTTAAAACTTGCCACATTATTACTATTACTTTCAGTACTTTAATCCAATCTTTTCTTCTCTTAGAATTGTTCATGTGAAAGGTAAAATACAAATCAGAGCTTCAGTATGGAATTGCTGCTTATTCAGAGGAAAGATGTGTGTAAATGGTTACATAACCATAACACATAACCATTGATTTGTTATGCACATTATAAATTCAGGAAGAGCAAAACAAGGATATTTTACAGTTAACTAAATTAACTCTGTATACATATTTGCTGAAAAATAAATACGAAAACAAGCCATTAAATCAATATGACAGAAACCTAAGTGGACTTTATAAATATGTTTTTTTCTATACAAAGCAATGAATTATCACCAATTAATCTGCACAGAAAATAAGTTAATGGGCTATTAATGGGCTAGATTATCCAGATTATAATTAGGAATGATGATGGATCAGTTATGATTGAAATTTGATGATTTTGGTGAGAATAGTTTTGAATATCTAAGAAATACTTGAGAGAAGCATCCTAGATTTCTAATATTTATATTGTAATCAGAAACATAAGGCTCCTCCTCCTACAGTCTACAAGATGAAACTTTCCTTTAAAAGAAAGTGAATTGGTAAATATGAAATAACTAATATCCTAGGAATTCATATAGACTTAGCCCCCTCCCCCCCAACACTACCATACCAATGGCAAACTAAGAGCTCGAAAGAAAACTGGTTATCAAACACAAACAGAAAAAGGAAGAGTGCCCTACAAATCAAGCTGATTTAGGACCTTCCTATCCTGACTGATGACCTTCCTACGACAGCACACAGGAGCTGCAGCCTTGATCTATGGCTGTGCAGACTGACCTTTTTTGAGACAAACCATCCCTGCTCCAAGGAGCTTACGGGTCTATGCATGCACTTCTGGAGTTGAGTTTTACCACTCATTTCAGTGGACCCTGACCTCTCATCTGGCAAATGACAGGGCTAAGTTTGCAGAAGCGAAAGGAAAGGAAGGGAGACTCTCCAAAGGATTTTGGCAGCTGCTCAGTACACACTGGACATGCTCTACATTTCAGGGCGCAAAACCCCAAGGTGCTAAGGTGTACTTTACAGGCCACAGGGGCATCCGCACTGAATCGAAACCTATGACACAGAAGAGGTTGATTTTGCAAGGCAGGTGCATGAGACTTACCAGAGATGCTCTACGAGAGCGCCGGCTCATCGGCTGGTCGAACGGCGGGCTGTTAATCTGCAGCTTTTCCAGGTAGCCGTCAGGTATCCTGATGTCAGCAGGCAGCGACAAACGCTTGTTCAGATCCTGAAGTAAACAGCAGGAAAAGGAGAAGGGTCACGTAACTTAAAAAAAGAAAGTTTTTGTTTTAATATATGTAGTGTCATTATTACTACAGTATTATTATTTGAAAATATTTGGATGAATGAAAGATAAGTAATCATAGAGAAATTTTTTTAATAGATTAGGTACCCGTTACCAAATTGCTTAAATAATAAGTTCGGAAAGTTCAGTGTCTTACAATCTCATTATGTTAGAAGGAGGAATGGAAACTATAATTAATTACACTGAGCATAAATATATTAACTTGAACACTTATAAATATCTGGAATACAGAAAATTGAGACATCACAAGTTGGTAAATACATTTTTTTTCCATACAATAATTAAATCAGAATAACAAGAGATCTTCACAATCCAAGATGAACCATTTTTTAAAAAAAATTCAAACTCTTCAGTCAAACTCAAAAGACCTTTATAAAACCAATCTGAAATTAACATAAATGCAATCTTCCCCTAAATTGGACTCTGTTAAGTTTTCATCAGGAATTTTTTCAGCAATATGTATCATCTCTAAGACAAAAGGGAAGAAAATGACTTTAGCTTTCATCAAACTTGAAACAAGACACAAGACTGTGGGGCTGCACATTCTCACCATTTTTATATTTTAAGGTGAGCTTTCCTCTCAATCATGTGAGAAAATGAAATCCCAAATATTCTCTTCAAGTGGCCAGTTGCCAACACAAAGCAACGTGGAAAACACAGCCAAACTCAAAAGAAGGGAATGTGATGGTTACAACTAAGGGCTTGTTGGTCAGCAAGGGCAGTTAGTCCAAGTAGCGTCACGCTCAGTATGGAACTGTACAATCCATCCACACAACGACTAAGAGAACATCTTGGAACCACCTCAGCTTTTGCACTTTTCTCCTGCAGACAAGGCAGGACAGCTGGCAGACCCCAGATTTAATCAGTAATGACCCAGTGGCAGTAGGGATGTGCTTGATGTTATTATTCTCTCTTATCTATCATCACAAGCCTTGATTTCTGGGCATCCTAAACTAATCTACAAGGCTGGCAGCCACAGGCTCATGCCGTTCCCCCCAGTCTTGGCCATGTGTTCCTACTGCTGTCTCTGCAGCAGCTTTGAACTATTTCAGCACGCTAAATCATTGGGAAACTATCTCGCGCGGAGCGAGGAGCTTCCTGCCAGCTTTCTGCTGGGAGCAGGTTCAGCGCGAGGTCAGACGCGCTGGGAGCGGAGCGACGGCGAGGACAGGGAGAGGTGAAGGAGGCAGCAGGGCAGCCCCGGGAAGCGGCCGCTCCGGGGCTGGGGCCGTCGGGGACCTGCACCATCAGACTGGTCAGGGCTTGAGATCTCTGTGGAGAGACTGGCAAGGTCCCAGCGTCCGCACTGCACTGAACTGCGTCCACGCACAAACGGGTCGTGTGCCTGAAACAGCTGCTGAGCACAAAATATGACTTTAAAATGTATTGTAAAAGTGAACAGAATCCAGCAACTCATTGCAGGTTCTGGTAGGGTGGAAGTGCACTCCCCGAACGATGGGTGTCCACACGCTATTCACCATCACCACTGGCTACGGACAGAAATTCCTGGACTGAAGCCACCGAAGCTTGAACTTCTGGCAGTTGACTCTCCTGTTTTTAATTTCACTCCTCATAATTAAGTAAAGAGAATAAAATCTGCTAGCTTGCTCTTTGCAGCCCAGCATCAGCTTCTCTGCCTAACGGGAAAGTTCACTGCCATATTGTATTTTGTGTGGAATTGTTAAATTCGGAACCACAGCCTTTAAACAAAAGCAGTACTGTTGCCATGCAGACTGAAGAACAGAGAATGGCAGCTTTGATCACCATTTTGCAGATCAATTAAGGGAAATCCCTCAAGTTTTGGCAGCTTCCTATTTCTTTACTCATTTTCAGTTTCTGCATTTTGCAGTATTTGAATTACTGACGATTTTAAAAGTGCCTGTGTGGTTTTGGGCAGAGCGGAGGAACTGATTAATTGTAAGGAGAGCTAGTAGTAACTCCTTTCTTGAAACTTTTTTTCATTACAGAATTTGCCTTTCTTGCTTTTTGGAAAGCTTGTTAATGCAACAGGCAATTAAAATTCAGTACAGTTAGAAAAGTTAGAAAGGAGAAATACCTTCCCCCCTTCCCCGGTGGGCTCCAGAATATGATTAAAAAACTACAGTTAGAAAAGTTAGAAAGGAGAAAAAATACCCTCCCCCCTTCCCCGGAGGGCTCCAGAATATGATTAAAAAAACAAGAACTTTATTAAAAAGACACCCTATTATGTAGCACATTCTTCAGAAAGTTCATGCAGCACGTCAGAACACCCCAGCTCCAAGGAAGGAGCTCCCTATTGCGGCTGGATCCCAACACCGCTGTGGCAATTCCCATGAGCTGTTGGGACAAGACCAAGATGGCTGAAAGGACCCCCCTGATCCAAAAGCTGGGCAAGATCCTGCCTTTCTTTTTCACACTCCTCAAGAACCTGAAGCTTGCCAAATCCCAAGACGGCAGAAGTAAAGAAAACTGGACTGAGTTCTTCAAGTGCAACCTGGACATGGCAGATACCATCATCAACCTATATATCCTGTGGCAAAATAGCCATCTCCCGCTCCTGGCTATTATCTCCAGTAGCAGGGAAATGTGTTCCATACGACTGTTCCATAGTGCTAATTTGACAGCAAGCATACTAAAATCAGGGACTGCGGTGCAGGGGCCGCACGAGATGCCGACGGGGCAGACGACATCCCGGAGCTCCTTCGTGGCCGTCTCCTCCTGCCCCACACCCGTCCACAGGCAGAGAGGGCAGAGGGCTGCTCCCTGACGAGCCCATTTCCACCAGTGAGGGTGAATGGGATGTAGGAAGAGAACGTGAAAGTGGCTTTGAGCCCTAACGGCAGCCCTCAAACTGTGAGGGATTCGCGGCTTTGGAGCCCAGAGAGCACCAGTACAAAACTGCTGGTGGAGGTAACTGTACAACCTGGAAATAGCTACACCTTATGTACAGGAAAATATATAAAGAACATCTAAGAATTACTGTCTCTTCATCTTCCCTATTACTTACTTCAGAATTCCCTGTGACTTACCCTCAGCTATAAGCTGGCTTAAGCTGTGATTTGCTGCATGTGGTGCCTCGCAGAAGATGTGAAGGACAGTGTTTGAATGCAGGTACTGACCGATGGTAAAGACCAAACCCTGACCAAGCCTGGGGGTGTGGGGGGAGTTAAAAAGCCTTCTTTATGACACCAATATCCCAAAGTATAGATAAGGATACTTGTATGAAGTCCAGTCCATTAGCCTTTAGCTACTTAAAAATGGTAAAACCAAGGGAAATGTTTTAGACTGTACACAAAGTATGAGAAAGACAGGAAAACTGCATTTTGCTTGTCTGTGCTACCTTATTCCTACCCAGTTTTTGTAATAAATGAAGCAGCATTCTAGTGGAAAAAAAAGCAACTGGAATTACCCGCAACATGAAAGGGGACTCATTAGAAGTGCATGGCCAATAAACACAGTGTTTCCTAGCAGCTAAGTAGCAAAACTGGAAACTAAAATTACATCAGTTTGGCACAGCTGAAAACCCCAGTAATTTAACAGAAATTACATTAAAAACAAAACAAAACAAAACCCTGAAAGGAACTCCATATCAAACACCAACCAGGTTTGAACCTGAAGTGTTCAAAGGCTCTGCAGCCTGTCGACACTTACAAAACTCAATCACCTGAAAGGCCATAAAAATTTCCACAAAAGGTGAAGTGTGTGCGGGGCAGTAAAGCCAGCTGGGGAAAACCACCGGGTTCCTTCGCAGGCTGGAGGCCTCTTTTCGGAGAGCGCGGGGAGGCGAGGGCACCCCAGCACGCAGGGCCCAGCCTGCACAGGCACCGCACTGCGGCGCCCGCCCTCCCTGCCGCCCTTCCCGCTCCTGGACGTTCCCGTCCCCGTCCGGCTCCGGTGGCACCAACAGGGCCCTCCTGAATGCTGCTGTTCACGGTCACCTCGGCACGATGCCCGGCTGCTCCAGCGGAATGCGAGCAGGAGGAAATGGCATTTTTTTTTTTCAAGAGTTTCTAATTCTCTTAAACCTCTGTGGAATGCCAGGAAGCAAAGGAAAAAGGGGCTTCTTGGGACAGAGAACTTGGTCTAGCCTGATTTCAATAATCAATTGATCCTAATGAAGTGTTAGCAGTGCTGAAGACACAAGTGCACAAGACAGCATTTATCAGGCAACTTAAACATGCGGGCTGTTACAAGATCCTGCTATGATGATGTTTAAAATAGTAATAAGGAAGAACATGCAAAATTAATGACAGGATTATTTTCACTGTCATCTTTAATTTTTGATAATTAAGATTTTGACCTTGCGAATACTACACAGTTAAGCATACAATTTTAACACAGAAATAAATTTTGCATCTCTCTCTATATCTTTTAAAAACTTTGCTTCATATTTAAGTTAGGAAATTAGAATTCACTAGATTGCTTTATGTATTAGTTTTTAAACACAACAGGTGGGCTCTTAATATATACATGATATTCCCTCATCTACACAGATGGAACCTGGGTTCATTTCTTTGAAACTGAAACAATCAAAGGTTTACTGAAATGCAAAATCTTTCCCTCACCTCAGAGCATAAAACACATCACCTAAAATAAACCACCCAAAAAACAAGTTTTCTATATATTATTTTAGACCTCATTTGGAAAAATAAAAGTTTAATTTGTGGAAAAAATCTTGTGAATTCGTAACATTTTCCAGTCTGACTCTTTAATGGCTATCTTTAGGGTCAGTTTGCCACAAGATAAATCTAAATGTTCAGTGGATGTAGTACTGTTAAATGTCCAAATGCGTACAATTAACCATACTGTTTAATGAACTTCTTTTTGATCCACTTCCAAACCATGTTCTGCAGAATACATTCAAGAACACATTCAATGCATTCAAGCAGCTTTGCGAGCTAATCGGAATGCTCAGGTGGCCCTTCTTCCCTTATACTTTCAAA